GCATGGGACGACGCTAAACCAGCTGAGCCACACCAGCCAGGGCAGGGATAAATATTTTTATTTGTCATGGAACTCTTAAAATACTAAGGATCTGTGGTTTCATAGTTGATCACTAGAGTGTGCTATAACATCATGGCTCTTAATTGTGAAAAGTAATATATGCTATTGTACTATTTTGGAAATTTTAGTTAGAGGAGTATATGATAGTATCATGCCATCCATACGGTGGGTGTTTGTTAGTGGAAGCTGATGTTTTAAATAGCTGTGTGTTATCATCTGATTACTGAGAGAGAAAACAGCTTGAGTTTTCATTTTTAATTTCACCATAGAACATATGTAATAAGTGAGTTTTTAAAAGGAAATAATAACAGATAAAGTAAAATATTTATTAATATACTAAATTATGGGACACCTGATATATGTACAACATTCTGCTGGCCTCTTGGGTATATATAAAAGTGTAATATGCAGGCCCAGCCTTAAATGTGTTTGAAATGTAGTTGGTAAGTCTAAATATGCACACATGGAAGTTAAATGACAGAACAAGAATGAAATTACAGCACAATTTAACAGTATTCAAGAAGTCACAGAGCAGTATCTGATTAAGTGCCAACGAGTGGTTCAGAGAAGGAAAAACAATGACTGGGCTACAGTTGTAAGGACAAACTTCATTGACAAGGAAGCTCTTGAGTATGATTAGTTCATACACACATTTTGTATCCAGTCCCAGATATTTGATCATTATCTTTATGGCCATATAAATAATATTAGAAAAAATATTGATACATTTTATTGCCACAGTTTTTGAAAATAGGATGGGATTTTTAAAAGAAGAGAGAAGGGGCAGTGAAAACAGAGGAAATGGTGGGAGTTAAAGCAAGGAGACAGGAATGCTTATAGTCCTTTAGGGAATTGGGGTGGGGGTGAAGAGATTAGGGAGCTTATCTCAGGAAATTCCACCAATCATACATTCTTGTTTTAATTGTAGAAAATGTGGATTTTTTTCCCCCCAAAAGGCCAGGGAAATCCAAGAATGGCTTTGTTATTTGGGGATGTTAAAATGTAGAAAAGAGGAATTTATGCAGTTTCTATGTTTATTGTTTACTTATGTTCTTTTTCATTTTAAAATATTTTCTTTCATTTTCCTTTTACTGAAATACCTCCTTATGTAATTCTGAGCAGAACATATACTCTTGTGTTTCTAATTAGTAAGAAAAACTACTTGTGATACAAAAATTGTTATATCCGCTCTAATCTTATGTAAAAGTATTTATAGTTAAGCTAGTACAAAATTCTTTTTTAGAAAGTCAACTGTATGAGCAAAAAGTAATATGATTGCTCTCTTAAAGTTCAGCTCTTCAGTTTGAACAAATTTTTGAAAGACAACTTTGCTGTAATATTGATGTTGTTTTTATTTTTAGAAGACTAATAAATTTTATACAAATTGTCTATCGGGATGTCTTTCTGTTGCAAATACTTTAAGCTTAATAATGCTATATTTATTACCTGAAAGTTTAGAATATTTTTTATATTTGCTTAATTATAACTCTGTTTTACTTAACAACTTTGCTTCATTTTAAGATGAAATTTTGACAGACTTCAAGTTGTTTGGGTAAATTTATAATTAATGAGATTATCCACTGAAAAATCATTAGTAGAAAGAATTCTGAGATAATTTTATGAAGCAGATTTGAGTTTTAGTCTAACTCTTACAATAGGCCTCTTTCTTGAATCTCTGTTTCATCATATATGAAATAAAAACAGTAATGCCTATCCTGTAGGTTTATTATAAGGCTTAATAATGTTTATGAAAGGACTTTATAAATTACAAAATGTTTCATAGATAAGTTGTTATACTTAGGCCTTGTTAAATCAAAGTTAAGCAATAAGAGCTTATCTATATAAGATACTTTAGTCCTAATATTCAACTGTTAGCCAGTGACATACCATGTTCTAAGACAGAGCTTGTAGCTCTCTCTTCTTCACAATTAAATAATTGATTCTACATTATTATTTTTTCCTTTTCTTTGAAAGTTTCAAAACACTTTAGCTGATCTCTGGACACCAGGATGACTTTTGAGCACCACTTAAGTCATTATATGTTTGTCCTATGTTAGGCCTGTAATCTCCAGCCTTAGACTGACTTTAAGTCCATTCACGGAACTTAAGGGAATTTGTATTTAGTCTCTGTCTAAGGTAGTTATTTATTCCATCAGAATGTAGAATTTTAAAATGTATTTTACAGCCATTTTAAACTAGATTCTCATCATCTCATATGTTTACCCCAACAGCTTTCTAGTTCATTTTTTTGGCTTTATTTTTCTCCTGATTGTCTAATTTCACCCTGGAGACTTACTTTGTATGTCATAGGTCAGGTATCCAACAGGTTTCAAGTCATAGAACTTCATTAAAACTAAGAACCCTATAACTATACCTATTTGTACTTCATCACCTACATCTGGAAGAAAAAAGTTACTAGTAATTCAAAGGAATAAGGAACCTTAAAAAACAAAAAAACTCAAAAACTCTGCTTTCATTTTGTCACATTCTTAAGATCCTTTGGCTTTCTGCTTCAGTTATTCTCTAATTACTTTTTCACAAAAAACTATGTTCCAAGTGTTCTGCTAGACATTGAGATACAGAGATGAATGAAACACTGTCCTATACCTTGGGAGACTGGTCTAGTAGTTAAAACAGACACACAAATAATATTAATACAGCGTGTGAAGCTCTATAATAGTAATTGTGTTGTAGGAGCAGAGAGGAGGTGCTATTTGAGCCAGTCCTTAAGGAATAAGAAGACACTTACAGTGGAATGTATTTAAGGGACATCCTAAACATAGAGGTAGCTTTGTGATGGCGGAAAACATACTTTGAGTGAAAAAGGCCTGGATTTTAGTTGTGTCTCTGCCAGTTACTCAATTTGTTAATCAGGCAAATTACATAATATTCTGGGTCTTAGTTTCCTAATCAGTATAAGGGAAATAGTACCTGCTGTCTTCACAGTATTGCAAAGATTAAGTGAGATAAGTATACGGAATATTCTCAGTAACTGCCCACACATCAGATCTAAACATTTTAGCTTTGAGTGCATTTTGTGTCTGGTCCTTCTGTTTCATTTTAACATTATTTCCCTTTTAATCTCTTCCATACTCTTCTGTTTATTGATGAGAACAGTCTACCTTTACTTAAGCCACCAAAATCTTTTATGTATTTGTCCATGTATTTGTATGACTGAAACCTACCTCAATGTCACTCTCTTCTGTTTTAATGTCATTTCATCAGTGAAGCCAACAGCATATGCCCTCTTCCCTATTATGTTAATTTCTTCTGTGAATCCATAGTACTTTGTACATATTGGTATAGATAGCAATTATAGTACTCTCATGTTGTTATCATTGCTTAAATACATTTAAAAATCTCCCTACCACAGTTTTTTGAGGGGAAAGGACTGAATTTTAATCAGCCTGATTTTCAGCACCATAGTGCTGCCACATACCCAACAAATGTCCATAAATATATCAGGAGGTCAGTATTTTAGGCCCTGTTTGTTCATTCCCAGACTTTGTTGTTAAACCTGTCTAGGGCTATGTTTGCTCATTGCTGAAAGAGGGCATTTGATTAATCCAGATAATCTCTAGGTACAGTACTTTTCTCACTCTAAAATTCTGCAATTAGGGCTATCTCTATAGTGCCTTTGTTAATTTTTTCCCTTACAGGAATGCTTCCTACTCTCCTCATATTACACCCCTTCCTTCTTGAGACCCTCTCAAATGACCAGATCTTTTTTATTATAGTCCTTATGGTAGTAGACCTCAGTTTGTTAGGTACTGTCTTAAATTCTGTTGCATTACGTGTCATTTTATATGTTGTTTCCTCATCTAGTTTGTGAGTTCTTAGAAGGTAGAGATCATGTCTTATATTTCTGTCCTATCTATAATTCCTAGCTTGTCAAACTATTTACTATATTTTAGTCACTCACAAAATTTAGATTATGTATTAGTTGCTCACATAATTTGGCTGCTAATTATGTTTTTTTTATATAAAATAAGTACTCATTTAACATCATTGGTAGGTTCTACAACTTTAAAAGAGGTATAATGAAACCAATTTTACCATAGATGAATTGATAAAAATAAGAGTTAAGTTGCTACTGCATCTCATCAACATTATAACTAAACAATGTTGAATGAAATGATGTTATTCTAGGACCTGCTGTATTTTGGAATGTAGTGCGAATTTGTCATGTTTTAGTCATAAAATATTAATGTAAAACATTCTTCACAAAGTTGTCTGAATTTCCAAATGTATGTTTGATTACAATAAATGGCTATATGAATATTATTTTAAAAAGTACACCATTTTAGGCCCTAGCTGGTTTGGCTCAGTGGTTAGAGCGTCGGCCTGCAGACTGAAGGGTCCCTGGTTCGATTTCGGTTCGATCTCCAGCCCTGGTCCGGGCGTGTGTAGGGGGCAACCAATCAGTGTGTCTCTCTCTCATTGATGTCTCTCTTTTCCTTCCACCCTCTCTGTAAAGCAATGGAAAAAATATCCTCAGGTGAGGATAAAGAAAAAAAGTAGACCATTTCTTGCAAGATCTTCCCTTATGGTATTTTATATACAAGATTTTATAAGTACATACAGGGTTTTTTTTCTTTGCTTATAATTTTCAAGGTAAGTCTGACTGCACATATTAATTTGTCCCTAAGTCAAGGGATTACAGTTCTTCCTCTGTATTTTTATTTAAAAAAAATATTTTTATTGATTTTTAGAGAGAAACATCGATGCAACATCGATTGGCTGCCTTCTGCATGTCCCCTACTGGGGATCAAGTTTGCAACCCAGGCATGTGCCCTGACTGGGAGTCAAACCTGCGACCTGTTGGTGCATGGGTCAACACTTAACCATGAGCCACACCAGCTGGGCTATATTTCTATTAATAAGCAATTTTACTAATGTTATTAGAAGCTTTAATCTTCTACTTGGCATTTGTTTTGCAGATGCTCTACTCATGGTACCCCAGGACCAGAAGGCAACCATGTTTCAGATGTACCACTTCTGGACAGTCACAAGTAAGGTTAATTGATTAGCTTTGGGGCCTCGAAAGGTAGGCTATTGCTTAGCACTGATGAAAGAGAATTTAAGAAACTGGGAATAGCCTGGCCGGCATGGCTCAGCGGTTGAGTATTGACCTATGATCCAGGAGATGGTGGTTCGATTCCTGGTCAGGGCACATGCCTGGGTTGTGGGCTCGATCCCCAGTAGAGGGCATGTAGGAGGCAGCTGATCAATGACTCTGTCATCACTGATGTTTCTATCTCTCTCTCTCCCTCTCCTTTCCTCTCTTTGAAATCAATAAAGATACATTTAAAAAAACAACAACTAGGAATAGTATGATATGGGATAGAATGTATTATCTGAATACTCTGTGCTCCACAGTTTGAGTTACCTTTCTGTTGTTATATTGCTTCTGCCCTATCCCACTTTTTGGTGTTTTCCAAAGTTTTCTCTGTAGCACTGATCCAAATGAAATATTAATTTTTTTTTCTGTTTCACACCCCATCATGCTATAAATGGAATGCAAAAGCTTCCAGGTCACTTATGTTGTAGGTCACCAGGGAAAAATGTAACACTGTTAAAGAGTATTTCAGGGGAGATATTGTGTGCAAAACTTGGGGAAGATGAATGAAAACTCATTATTCTTTCAGTCCTTGGTTGTCTTCTTCACTGGCTGCTCCGCCTGTAGTAGCCCCAGTCACTTTCGCATCTATTGTAGAAGAGGAACTACAACAGGAAGCTGCACTCATCAGAAGTCGAGAAAAACCCTTGGCTTTGATTCAGGTAAAGAACATACCTATGCGGGTTTAATTCGGGGAAGAAAGACACTACATTTTATCCTTAGATCTTAAGAAAATTATGTTCATTTTCTTTGTGTAGGTGCATATATTTATCAGTTCAAAATGTAAATGCAATGTAAAAATAAACTGAGATTCAGCAATTTAAGTATTAATTGAAGCATTCAAGATAACTAATTTAGAACTAATAAATTATGACAAAGCTAATATTTTTAGCACTGGTGATTCTTTGAACTGATTTAAAAATGACCTGTAGAGAACTTGGCATTATCTAGCATATTATACCTGCCCCAGAAGTTCAGTAAGACTCATTAAGAGTTCTTAAAACAACACACACCAATTCTGTCCTACTTCAGGAAAAGAAAATTTATTTGAGGGATATTAAGATTCCATAGACTTAAGCTGAAAGACCAAAAAGCCAGGCTTGGGAACAAAGACCCATAGTTGCCCTAGAGACTTTAGAAGCAAGAATATGAAGACTTTTACAATAACAGAAATTTTCTCACAGAATGAAACTATTGGAATGAATGAATTTCAACATCTATTTTCAGTTTCTTTTTTCTTCTATTCAAGATTAAAATTCAAGGAAAGGTGGGTATCTAATTATCCTAGGTCAGGCCTCAAGCCTTCTCCTTGCCAAGGGGGATAGTAGGATACCTAATTTAATTCTGCTATGTTGTATTTATAGAAAGTAGTAGTTCCAGAGAAGGAAATTGGAAAGTTCATATAATTCTGCTTAGTTGGCAATTAAAAGATTCTTCCCTTTTTTCTTCTTCCCTCCTTTCAGATTGAGGAGCATGCAATACAAGATTTATTGGTTTTCTATGAGGCGTTTGGCAACCCTGATGAGTTTGTCATTGTTGAAAGGACACCACAGGGACCACTGGCAGTACCTATGTGGAATAAGCATGGATGCTAGTTTGCTGTGGAATTGAGATGTGTTTTTCATAAATCGTGATTGTTATAAAAAGCTGTGGAAGAGTTCTTACAAATTTGGTAACAGATCATTCTAGGTAGAATAAGAAAGATCTAATTTCTGTACTGCAGTTCAAGCATATAATATTTGTGTGATTAAAAAGAAATTCCTTAGACTTGTGATTTTAGTAATTTTATGTAAAAGTGTATGAGAGGAAAAACTAGATTAAGTTTAAGTAGAAACATTTCTTCTGAATAGGTCTGAAAAGGAAAACAAGCAATTGAAGTGTAAAATTTAGGAGTGATGCATTAATAATAACTTTCCATTTGAAAACTTGTGATAAATAATTTAGAAGATTTTTGCCAAATATCTGTTGTCACTTCTTTTTTGATATAACATTGGTGAGCTTAAAGTAGGAGTATTAGCCATTATTTTTGATCCATTAATGTCCAAAATTTTGTGTTTACTACAATAATTCTCCATTTTTGTGTCTTTTTTCATCAAGCCATGAACATTCTAGTCTGTTTAAAGTTTGAATGCTCAAATGCCATATTATTTCAGCTTGGATAGCATATTCTCCATTTGCATTAAACTATGGAGTACAGTGAAAAGGAAATATGAACACTTCTGAATAGCTTAGTCCAAGATAATAGTTTCTTTATAAGATTTGGAGTCATTGTGGGTTGTGTCTTAGTGGGAGGGGAGACCTTATAAAAGCCTAATTGTGAGAGAATCAGTTTTCCAGTGTTAAAATTTTCTGAAATAAATGCTTAATTATACGTTACAAGAATTAAATAATTTAGAAGAAGATGGGTTTATGGTTACTTTACAATATTATGTTATCAGAATTTCTCTGAGCCTGGATTATATAAATAGACATATACATTGTTTGTTTTCTTTACAGTACGCTATTTGGTTTACTTTTGAGTGGTTAAATTTTAAAAAAACGTTAAATGTGTGCTCTAGTTCCTGGACAGATTGGGAAGGTTAATGTTCTAGTTTCTGGGACATGAGCCTAGGGGAACACACAGGAAATTCACTGCGTTAATTCAGATGATGGAAATATGGCTGCAACTAACAGTACTTGAGGTTTAGCTCTACTTGAAAGAGGCAAACTTGTAAGTAAATGTGCAATAAAAAATAATCTTGATCACTGCTGATGTGTGTTTGATATCTTGCACTATATTGGCATCTATTATAGGAGGAATTACTATAGTTAGTATTTGTTTTAAGTGAATGCTGTATCCATTCCTTGACTACTTAAAAGGGCAGTTTCCCTAAAATGCACCTGTGAAAAATTTTATATTATGTGTTTGAGTAAATTGAGAAGAGATGAATTTTGTTTTATTTTGCAGTAAATAGGCCTTCTGAGTAATTTATTTGAAGCCTTGAGTCTTACATGTATACTAACATCTTTAATACATAAAGATGCTGTGAAGTGATGATGATTTTCATAGTGCGCTTCATGCTGCCTGGGCACCACCCTCAAGGGCCTGTGCTGGATGAGATGTCAAGGGCTAACCAAATCTGTGGGTTTAGGCCCCAACAAACCTGTCAGCAGTTGCATTTTATGGCCTGTTTTATATAGTGGGGTGTCCTATTAAATTTCACTGAAAAAAAGTTATTTTGCTAGTAAAATGAATGATAAGCACTGCTAAAAACTAATTTATAAACAATTCCATGAAGATAGCAACCTGATACATTGCCAAAAAGCCCAGGAAAGTAACCTTATTCCCCCTAACAGTAACATTATTCTGCCTGCAATTATTAATTCATCTTTAATCCCATGACTTAAAGAAAGACTTAATAGAATTGAAGAAAATCTAGCATTGGCCACTTGAAGGATCAGTGGGATGGATAGAAGAGGTTTTTAAGAGTCAAGAAAACAATCATAGACTCATAAAGTGGGGATGGACAGGTGGGGAGTTGGGTGTGGGGAGTAGGTGTCAGAGCAGAATATGCTTAAAACTTGCAAAATCAAGAAGTCTACCAGTCAGGTAAAGTCAAATTTGTTGACAAAATACAAGATTCAGGCCTTCTCTCAAAGTTCTGAAGAGGTGGCTTTTACAATAAATTTAAGACAATCCTAGTTTACACAGAAACAACAGATGCAGTTAGTTGAGAAAGGTGTTGCTGGGAATACCTGGGTTGGTTCTGTAACTCTTGGAGGCTGGGGATATGTGTGTGTTCACAAGTGGGTTGACAGCTGTTTCATAAAATTTGACATCTGAAGAAGCCTTACAGATTACTTTGCATATTCCCCTTCGTTTTATAAATTGAAGAACACGGACTCCAGAAAAAGTGAGTAATGAGAATGAGATCTTATGTCTTTTGTTTGGTTCCCCTATGATTGTACCAGACTGCCTCTTAGAAAGTGCTAATTGTCTACAGAAATGTAGCAGAGACTAAGAAAATGTTTTAAAAAAGCACTTAGTAAAAATAAGTGTAACCCAGAAGATTCCAGAATTGGCAGTATAAGAGATGTTTTCAGAAGAAGCTACAACAATCTTCCAACAAGGAATGGAGGACAAGTGATCCAAGACAGCAAAACAACCTGGTCTCTCCTACACACACAAACTGAGTCTCAGCCCTTATATGTTTCCTTTTCTTCTGTCTACTTGGCTGCTTGGCTGGCATTTCATTTGTGTCAAAACGGACTTCTTGCTACCCCTAAACTTGGACCTTTCTTATTTCCTTGTCTCTTAATCAGTTATTCTCCAAAATCATTCCAGCTGAACTTTTGGATTCTTTGTCTTTCCCCATTTTGCCCCTATATTTATATCAGTTCTTTCTCTGCATTATCTTTTATTTAATCTTTACCATTTCATTCTTCTTACTACTGTGTTTAATGTCTTAATTCATTTTAGAAGTTCTCAAACTTTTTGGTCTCGAGATGACTTTATACTGATAAAAATGATTGAGGACTCCAAAGAACTTTGGTTCATATGGATTACATCTATCCAAATTTAATGTATTCAAAATTAGAACAAACTTTAAAAATTAAAATTAATATAAAAATCATAAGCCATCACATGCCAACGTAAAAAAACATTTTATTGAAAATATAACTATTACAGAACAATAGCAAGAAGACTGGGATTGTTTTCTATTTTTATACTTAACTCATTACTTCAAGTTTAGGTCTTTACTGCCTGGTTTAATAGAGGACTCCTTAGGTTCTTACATCTACTCTGCATTCACTGTCTTATGATATCACATGTCATGTACTGTCTGGAGACTTGAAAAACAGACTGGAAAAGCAAATAGTGTTACAAAAATAGTTTTCATCTCACCAGCGTATGAAAGGTTGAGAAATTGGTCGAGAACCCTTGTGCTAGCCCCTTAGCTGCTGTGACCTCTTTCTCTGTCTCCCTGGTCCAATCCATTAGACTCATTACCTCCCAAAGGAGTACCTGCAAAGCCTACAACTTGTCTTTTTCCCTGCCCTGAAAACATAAATTACTCCTCTATACTTTAAGTAAGTTCATATATCTTCAGTTTGGCCTTCAAGTGCTTTTTTCATCTATATATGTAGTGGTGGAGTCAAACCTGATGTTATGTTTCTCCCAAATAGACTTCAAGCTTTGCTCATGCAAATCTCTACCTAAATTTTTCTTTCTCTTCACTTATTGAAATTTTACCTATTCATGATTAAGGCAACCCAAATTATATTTCCTTTATACACTTTTTCTTGTCTTTTTCTTCTCATATCCCCTCAAAAATAAAAGCAGTAGCATATATAGATCAATTGTTATTTCCTCTTAACACTTTATTCCTTTTAGGATACTTGTCATATTCTGCCATTTTTATTTTTTCTATGAGTCTTTATCTTTTACTAAATTTATATTTTGAAGGTATGGACAAGGCATTCTTTTCTTATATGTGTGTATTTAAATCTTAAAATCTTGAACCATAATATAGATAAGTGCACAAAACAAAAATATTCCGCTTAGTGATTTACCAGTAGGTCAAGAAATGAACCATTAACACCACTGCAGAAAGAGGGGCTTGATTTTACTAATATTTTATTGAGGACTTTTGCTATAATTCATGAAGGATATAGGTCTGTGTTTTTTCTTTTGCTATCTTTTTCTGGCTTTGGAATCAGCCTAATGGCCTCATAGCAGGAGTTGAGAAATATTCCCATCTCTGTTTTCTGGAAGTGTTTATAAATCATTGGTATTATTTCTTATTTAAGTGTTTGATAGAATTAACCAGTGAAGCCATCTGGGTATGGTTTTTATTTTCAATTGCAATTGACATACAATATTATATTAGTTTAAGATGTAGAACATAGTGGTTAGACAATTACATAACTTATGATCACTCTAATAAGTCTAGTATCCATCTAACACCTGTATGGGCTTTTCTTTATGGAAAGATTTTTAATTATTCGATTTACTTCTATAGCTTTACATGTTACAGGCCTATTGAATTTTCTGTATTCTTGAATCAGTTTCAGTCATTTCTGTGTCTAGGAATTTTTTCAACTTATATAAGTTATCTATTTTGTTGGCATAAAATTCATAGGATTTTCTTCTAATTCTTTTAATGTCTGTACAGTTGGTAGTGAGGTTCCCGCTTTTACTCTTAATTTTGTTCATCGATATAAAATTGCTTTAATCTATTTAAATTTACTGAGATATGTTTTATCTTCTAAATTAATGGTCTATCCTGGAGAATGTTCCATGTGTGCGTGAGGATTGAATTGACATCAACCTCTTATGAAACAGTAGCCTATAGGACTTTGTACATAGATTGCTATGTTGAGGACACAAATTTTTCACCTAAATAAAAAACAAGAATAGAGGCTGGAGAACAAAGGGCGTAGACTGTGCTGGGTGTGTATTTGCACCTCAGATCCATTCTCTGTTCTCCCCACTACTGTTTCTCATGAAGTTGAACTTGAGGATGTTATCAACCAGCTCATTTTCCCTCTGGCTCTGTTCCTTGAGCCACTTTGGAGCACTAGCAGAATATTGGCATATTGACAGGAGGAAAGAGAAAGCAGCTTTTTTTCTGTTCTGACCCTCTACAGCTGCTGCGGGCTGCACTCCTCAGAAAGGTCAGAGCTGCCATGAGGCAGCTTGCTGTGCACACAGCACTCCCCCAGCTTCTGGTGAATGTGTTTCCCTCACCCACTCTGTGTAGGAAGGCAAGGCTACTGTAGTATCCATTATAGCTTCCCTCGGGCCTGCCCGCGCTTTTATGAAGAGTCCATTAATAATGTACCCAAGGTGAGAATGCTGATTCCGCTCGGACCTGAAGCAGAGATGATCTGAGTAATGGAGAAAGGTATGAGAATGTAGAGGTTTGGGTTCAAGGATAGTTTACCTAGAAATACGGCAGCAAACATGCAGATGCATGAGACACAAAAGTGGTAGATGGGGCAACTGTTTTGTGTTTGAAAAAGTGAAGGGCTACACATCAAGAAAGCAGAAAATGAGAAGTCAGCGCAAATAGAGATCAGAAATGCTGGGAACAGAGGAAATAACTGCAGAATGGGGGTGAGATGGAATCAAGAGTTCGAAGGAAAACTTGTTGGTAAGGAGGAAAGTGCTATTTATTTCTCCTAAACTTAAGGGCAGAAATTGAAGATGGTCACAGGTGAGTGGTTCTCAGTTTGACCTCTAGATTAGCAACATCAGCATCACTGAGAACTTGTGAGGAATGAAAGTTATCGGCTCTACTGCAGTTCTACTGAATCTGGAAGTTGGGGAGTGGAGCCCCACAATGTGTTTTTTTAACACATTTTTTCAATTACAATTGACATACAATATTATATTAGTTTCAGATGTATAACCTAGTGGTTAGATAGTTATATAACTTATGAAGTGAACACTTTGATAAGTTTAGTATCCATCTGACACCTATATGGACTTTTCTTTTTGGAAAGATTTTTAATTATTCAATTTTATTTTTTTATATGTTGTAGGTCTAAAGTTAAAAAAAAAAAAAAAAAAGCCCACAGCCCTGAGGACATATTTTGAGGTGAAAGAAAAGAGAACCTATTTTAGGCTTGATAATCTAGGTAGAATTACTTTCCATACCACAGAGATGATTGGTAACTGGAAGAGAGTGGAAAGCATACTTGGTATTTAAGTTTAAAGGCCTTAAGTTGTGTTAATTATCAAATCAAAGGCTTTTCACTATTT